AATAAGGCAGCTGAGTGTCAAGAAAACTCCCTGATATTGCTCCAGACACCAGGGTGGAGCAAGTAGGCTGTGATAGTCTTACCCACAATGACTAAACACCAATGGAGAGATACCAGAAATATGAAAAGCCAAGAAAGTACAACACTATCAAAGGAATATAATAACTCTCAAGTTCTAGATCCTATAGAACAGGAAGTCCTTGAAATGACTGACAAGGAATTTTGAGCAACAATCGTAAGGAAACTAAATGAGATACAGGAAGATTCAGTTAGACAACACAATGAAATGAAAAAAGTATACAGGACCTGAAAGAGGAAATGTACAAAGAAATCAATGCTCTGAAAAAGAATGTAGCAGAGCTTGTGGAGCTGAAGGATTCATTCAATGAAATAAAAAACAACAGAGAAGAGGAGTTCAAAGCTTTGCAATGATAAATACACTAATTATCCTGACTTGATATATAACTTTGTACCCTAAAAATATGTACAAGCAAAATGTGCCAATTAATAAATAAATTCCCTAAGAAAACAGCTAAACGCTTTAAAAAATAATTTTATGAAAGATTTTTTATAAATTGATTGGACTTTTATAGATTGTACTTTCTCTGAAAGAGTGTCTTTCACCTTAAAAAAGTTATAGTTGTTATGAGTTATATCTGCAACTTAGGGACTTGGATTCTGCCTCCCCAAAGCAGCAATACAATCTTATTTTTAGTAAAAATAAAGCAAAGAAACAAACAAATCAAGTAAAGAAAATTTCAGAAAGGCCAGGTCATTTCTCCACCTCTCTTTGCAGGTTTCCGTGTAATCCATCAGTGACAGCTGGGACTAACCGTTCTAAAATTTTTCTAGCCTGCTACTTTATCACGTCTTACATTCTTGGCATTCCTGGCCATAATCCAAAATGTAAGCTCTTTCTGCAGGCTCATTTTTGAATTTTTTCCTGGACTTTCACTCGGTTAACCCAGTCTTCCACTGTTTCCCATCCTACCTCACTTTACAACTATGCCCTCCGGAATGCCTTTCCTGGTAAACAAAATCCCCTAAATCGTTAACCTCTTTGAAGAACGTTCCTCCACTTCCTGATTTTGACTGAATCCTTGATCTGCGGACTCTTCACAGGCCTCCCTTCCCGGGGTTTTCTGCTCATTTCACTTATTTCTACAGTGGGACTCTGGCTCCAGGCGTCCAACTCACTTCAGTTCCTGCCATCCCCCCACGTAACTTGCTTCTCCACGGAGAACTTTCTGACTTTTAATATTTATTCAACACCCCCCAATCTTGGTTTTTTTTTTTATCACCCCAAGCCTGTTCCACCTGTGGAATCTTTCAACAGTTTGGCCACTACTATGGATCCTTTCCTTTTCTCTTCGACCTCCATACACCATCGCCTTCTCCCTCTCAGCTCCAGCCCCCGCGCCTTCACTTTCCAGCTACTGAGCCTGGACTCTTTAGGGCCTCCCTGGCTCCTCCCTGCTGCTTGGCGCAGAGCTCCGTTCCTGAGCACGTGCGCGGATCCACTTCTCCCCTCGCTCCGCTCCGCGGGCCTAGCACGTGTCTGGGGGGAAACATCCAAATGTTGGCTGACACTGATTCAGGGCTGAGGGCTGTGGATGGCATTTTTGACTTCTTCATTTCTCTTAATTTCCACTCCTTCACGACGAGTTCCCACTACTCTCACTACAGCACAGCGACACCCAGTCTCGCCGAGTAGGGTCCCGCCGGCCGCAGGACTCGCAGAGGAGGCGCGGGCGCATGCGCAGTCGCCG